CAGGCTCTGGACCAGATGAAAATAAAAGGGTCTGATCATTTCTGGGTCTTTGTGTCTGCAGGCCAGAGACGCTCTGGACAACGGAGAGGTTCCAGTCGGTTGTCTGATGGTCCACAGGGACCAGGTGGTGGGGAAGGGAAGGAACCAAGTCAACGAGACTAAAAATGTAGGAAACAAAGCGTCTTCTTCTTCTCTCCCTAAAACCACGGACGTCGTCATGATGAAGACGGGCGTTCATGACGTCGTCATGAACGCCCGTCTGAAATGTTTCCAGGCGACTCGCCACGCTGAGATGGTTGCTTTGGACCAGGTTCTGGACTGGTGTTATCAGAAGAACCTGGACATGAGGAGCGTTTGCCGGCAGACGGTCCTCTACGTGACGGTGGAGCCATGCATCATGTGCGCTGCGGCGCTGCGCCTCGTCAGTATCCTGCATCCGTCGCCGTCTCACCATCAGAGACGCCGACAGGTGACCTGCGGGGAGCTGGGTTCAGGTTCAGGTTCAGATTCAGATTCAGGTTCAGGTTCAGGTTCAGGTTGGAGCTGATTAATGAGGCTTCATCAAGCTGTGCTAATTCTGACAGAATACTGACACCTGCTGGACATTTAAAGACACTACAGGCAGCAGATTGGACAGAATAAACTGAATAGATCTGATGACCTAGAACGACGACATCGTATTATTTCATTTCTATGTTTAAATTTAAAATATCTTTGATATTTTTAGATGGAGCCAAAAAATAATGTAAACATAATGAAACAATTTAAGGGAAGATGTGAATGAGGAAGCTTGTGGACTAGGATTTTAAATCACTTTTAATAAACTAAGAGTCGACTTGAAATTAACTTTAATTCTGATAAGTTGAATAAAAGGAAAAGACGAGAAAATTAAAATAAAAAGGTTCCTTTTCCTTTTAGGCTCCAAAATTCTGGATCATTTTAATGATAAACTGCAACAGATGAGACATTTTTTTAGCAGCTGCATCATGTTGACAGAAACGTTTAATCAGTCGGTTAGAAACGTCTGGATCGATCACATGACTTTAAGGAAACGAGACGCGCACCGATGCAGCGTTTAGCTCTATGTGCTCCACGCACGCAGCCACGCATCGCTGTTAACGGACCCATCCTCCTGGTAATGGTTGGGGTCGGGGTGACCTTTGGGGTCGGGGTGACCTTTGGAGTCGGGGTGACCT